CGATCGTGATCGAACGCTCTAGATGATGGAAGGGTTTTTGGTGGGTTTTGGGCCAAATTTTAAGGGTGTTGTGCTGCAACACAAACGAGGCCTTCTCGGTCCCTCGGTTAACTGTTGGAGTATCAAACGAAGTCCAAATGGCACGAAACTTGACAGGCGGTCTACCGGTAGTAAACCAATGCCGCTTGGTAAGTCTCGGTCCAATCCGGAAATGTTTAACCCCCCCACACACAAAGAAGTAGAAAGGACCACCGGAGGAGATAGGAGCGCCAGAATGTAAAACGGACAACGGGGAAAATGCTCGGATGCATGAGACGAACACGTATGCAAATGCAATGCACATGATGACATGATATGAGATGCATGACGAAGGCAAAAACACAAGGAGACAAAAACCCAACACCGAGGAAAATAAAATAACTTAGGCCGGAAACGGCAAGAGTTGGAATACAGATAAGGTAAATTACATCCGGGGTGTTACAATACAGATGCAGCTTCACTGACTTCATGAAGCCAAGTTTCACCATAACATAAGCCCCTCTATTAGCCATCCATTAAAGATCCGACATACCAGATTGACCATATTCCAAATGGAATATTTTAAAGTTTTTAGAAAAATTGAAAAAAAACGAATAAATCATAAATGTTTCGTTTTGTATTATGTGAAAATTTCAATCCATTTGGACGTATCGTTTATGAATAAACTTTATTTATTTATTTGAGCTTAGAAGGTTATTTAATCACAAAAACATACATCCAAATGGGTTGAAACTTTCCCAAAATATAAAACGAAACATTTATGATTTATTGGATTTTTTTCAAAAAAAATTGAACACTTAAAAAAATTCAGTTTCGAAAATGGGTCAATCTGGTACGCCGGATATTTAATGGAGGGCTGATAGAGGAGGCTAAGTTACGGCGAGACTTGGCTTCACAAAGCCAGAAGCTGCGTCCTGCATATAGAACCCAGCCTCCCAGGTTCAAGTCATCTCAAATGCGAGTTTGTGTTCTTATAGAAATGGCAGAATTGTAGATCTCTTTTTTCAGCAAAGAGAGCAAAAAAAATATGTTTTTTAGTGTATGCCAATGGCCTACCATAATTTTATAGAAGAAAAGAGAGTTTAATTACAAGAATCCGTCTCTGATGCGAACAATCTAAGACGGGAACCCAACGCCAACGCCAAACTCCAAGACACCTAAAGCTAACTCCTCACAAAACGTTGGAGGCCTCCTACGCCAATCCCCGTAGTTCGCCAAAGTGCCACCTCCAGCACCAAGGTTGGAAGGAGGGGTGCCGGTTTCTACTGGTTCATTCTGTTGAATACCCTGGCGTTTCTTTGCTTCCACAGGTTCCAAGCGACCGCGCTGACAAGGGTGTCAAAACCTCTCCCATCCGCTTTCGTGAACTTCTTCCTCTTTCTGAGCCACCAAGCGGAAAACACGTCAGTCTGCGTCGTTCCGACCATGTTGAGACTGAGGAGGTCAAATGCTCTATGCCACACTTCCTGCGCATAGGTACACTATGCAAGAATGTGGTCAACGTTGTCCTCGCACTACAAGCAGGTGAAGCAAGCCGAAGGTTGGTCCTGTAGACCATGTCTCGCTCTCCTGTCCAAAGTCCATAGCCTATATTGCAGAGCCAACCAAATGAAGATCTTGCACTTGAGAGGCGCCCAACTTTGCCAAGTACAGTTTGTCATGGGGGAGCTGGGAAGACTCGAACATAGATACTCATAGATTGATTTAGCTGTGTAGCTCGCGTTAGCCGATGTAGGCCAAGAGAATCTGTCTGGCTTAGTAGGTACTCGATGCACCGTGGCGATCGCATTGCAAAGATGCATTCTTTGCAGCTGGGCCGTGAAAGAGGCAGTGATGTTGCAATCCTCCATCCATCTATCCTCAAGGAGGGCCTGCTAAACCGTACGGCTGTTGATGATTCTAGTTTGTACTGGCGCTACCAACAGGGGGGCGATATCTGCAACCCCAAAGCCATGAATCCACTTGTCCCTCCAGAACAGCACTCTGTCGTCACTGCCCATAGATATGCTGACCATCACATCGAAGACCGCATGCGCGTTGGGGTCTTCAATCATGGGCAACCCCTGCCATGGCCTGTTGGGGTCAGTTCTCTTCAGCCACTCCCATTGAACGCGGAGGGCTAGCGCTTGTCCTTTCAAGTTTCTGATCCCAAGCCCTCCCAGATTCTTCGGTTGACAGATCTTGTCCCACGCCACAAGGCATTGCCCTCCATTGGTCTTGTCTTTCCCGGCCCATAAGGACGGTCGCATCCATTTGTTCATGTCCTCAAAGACCCAATCCGGAGCATCCGAGATCATTAGGTGGTGGACCGGTCTTGCCGCAATGACAGATTGCACAAGGATAAGCCTTCTTGGTCGCTGAATGAGACCTCGTTGCCAGGCCGGCACACATCGCCGCACCTGGTCTAGCATGGGCATCCAATATGCCCGAGTTAAGCTCCGGATAGCAGGCTGTAATCCAAGGTATTTGCAAGAAAACTCTGCTAGGCCACATTGCAGGATTCCGGCAACCTGAGTTCTTTTTTTTTTGAGGGTTAACGTCGCCGCCTTTATTTAAAACTTAAAACAAGTTCAGAATCTCACCTGCGATCACTTCCAGAATGCAATCTGGGGGTGATCCAAGCCAAACCTTACAAAGTTCTTCACCAACACCTAACTTAGCTAACCTATGCGCGGCAACATTAGCAGAACGCCTCAGCCACGAAACTTTAAAATCCCCAAAGGATCAAAGCATGATCTTGATCTCCTCCACCCATGAACCCGTCGACGCCAAAATCCTATCTGGGTTGTTAATCATCTGAACTAGAGCTTGGTTGTCCAGCTCTAGTTGTATTTTCTGAACATTAGCCTCCGTTGCCACCAACAAGGCCGTCTTGCATGCCATGATCTCCGCAGCCTCTGCCTCCACTATGTGAGGAAAGAAATGGCTCGCTCCCACCAAAAAGGCACCATGATGATCTCGAAGCACAACTCCTCCTCCACTCTTGCCTCCGAACTTTGACGTGGCTCCATCGGTATTAGCTTTGACCCATCCCTCCTCTGGCACTGTCCACCTCTGCAGAATCGTTTGTTTGGTCTCCCGTCTCAGCTTCTCATGAACCTCTCGCCATTCCTGCATGAAGGAGAAAACCCTCTCCATTATTTCATGTGGTGCATCAATTTTCTTTCCATTCTTCGTCTCATTCTGTGCCAACTACAAAGCATAAACATCATGGATCATCGCCTGCCTCTCATCTTCTTGGGCTTCAGCAAACCACCCAAGCAACCAATTCGCCAGCTCGCTCTAAGAGCATGTGAAAACCGGTGGGGCTGGCACCGAAACTCCCTTTTCCGAGTGTAACTGGTCCCAAAACTGGACAGAGTGTTGGCACGTCCAAAATCTGTGCATGATAGTCTCCTCCCGCCCGCACACTACACAAAATACTCCTGGCTTGATTCTCCATCGAAATAGCTCCGCACCAACAGACAGACCGTTCCTAATGACCCTCCACATGTGAATTTTAGCTTTATTTGATGCGTTTGTATCCCAAAGACCCAAGTACCCTTGATGTTTGTTAACTGAAGACGCTGCTTCCGGCCGTCCGGTTTTCAGCCTATTAATGGTCATCCTGAGGTGATAAGTGGAACACACTGTGAACATACCGTTCTTTGTGTAGTTCCATGCTAAGCAGTCCTCCATTGCCAGCCCCCCGATAGCAATCTGTTTGATATCTAGCGCATCATCCGGCAAGAACATATCATCGACTATGGCCTGGTTCCAAGCATCTCCGGTCTCAACCATTGGGTCGGCCACCTTAGTTATACCCTGCACAAAGATAGCTCCAAGTGGCTTCATACTACCGCTTCTCGGCAACCCGAGTTCTGTCTTCCTCATCGCCTCTGATAAGAATCGCCGAGGATTTGCGGCAGTTAACCATCAGGCCTGAGGCCGCCCCAAAAGCTTCCAGCATCGCCCGGACAGCAGACAGGTCCGAGGGCGTTGGCCTGACGAAGAGCGCAAAACACCGTCCGCGTAGATTGATAGCCTCTGGGTACTGGAGATCCCACTATACAAACTGATCACCCCCATCTCCGTGGCCTTGTTGACCAACGCGGTCAGCACATCCATGGCGATAACAAACAACATTGGCGAAATTAGGTCACCCTGTCTCAGCCCGCAAACTTGGAGAATCTTCTGGCCCGGCACTCCATTCACAACAACCTTTTTTTTTAGCTTCATTCACAACAACCTTGGTACTAGCAGATTGTAGCAGCGCCATCATCCGTGATGTCCATCTTTGGCCAAAGCCCTTGGTATGTTGAAAGCGGAGGATCAAGATCCTTGGATACAAGAAGGTCCCTCAGCATACTATTGGTTGGTCCACAGGGAGTAGTACAAGAAGACACTTGAATAGTCGCACGCACCCCCACCGGCCACACTGCTGCGTATCTCCGTCCAAGATTTTCGAGCTGCCATATGCACAAACATAACAGCTCAGGGCCCCTCTCCTCTTCTCCGATCAGTGTGAGGCAACTATTCATGCCATGTGACCTTGCTGAGAACCAACTGATTTACATGCACCCCCGAAAGAAGAAAAGAAAAATACCACCACAAAACAAAACAACGCCATGATTGATTGACAAACAGCGGGCAGTGCCCCCGAAGCCCAGTAGGCGCAGCAGTGCGGAGACCATATCGAGATCTACAAACGGCACACACACACTGCATGGCTGCCATTCTCATCAGGGTGACTGACGACTGCAACAGTTATCACAACTAAGATCTTCGCACAACTAGATGTCATTTCGTCGGCTGATACACAAAAGAAGAGCTAACTCAGAGCTCAATATACTAGTAAACCTATTGGCATTCCTACTATACACCAGGACAAGGTAGCAGCAAAAGCTTTGGGCCTACGATTACTCAAAAGCAGAGGAGGAGGGAATAATACATAATTGAGTTGCTAAGGGAAGGGGTGAGCATTAATATCGGTTAGAGATGCTCTTCTTGTCTCGGTCCCAGGCAGCCCTCAAAGCGTCATAAGATTGTTGTTTCCTTCCAACCACTCGCTGTGAATCTTGCCGGGCTGGGCTGCTGTAGTCCTGATAATGCTGTTGCTCATTTGCCTTTCGCCAGCTCCTGCTTGCAGAATCACTACTTGGGGCCGAAACGGAGACGGAATCGACAACCATGTCGCCCTCGAGCAAGCGAAGAACCTAAAAGAAAGATATGGAAAAACGGTACAAATTGGCAAAATTTAGTTTCCCAACAGGCATTTACACAAAATAACTGAAGGTCGAGCCCAGAAAGAACTTACATGAGACATGCGAGGCCTTGAATGAGGATCACGTCGTATGCACAGGTTTGCGGCATGCAACATGCAACGGACCTCATTTTCGCTGTATCGGTCCCCCAAGCATGGGTCTATGAGCTCGTCGACTGCATTATCCTCCAAGAGATGGCGTGCCTATCACACATAAAAACTTCATTAATACTCATTAATACTCCAATCACACACAGTTTTGACATAGCAGCACTAGCATTGTAGCCAACTCTGAAATCCTTGAGCATAAGTTTTATTAGTCAAAAAGACTTGATTGCGATTTCGCAACAAAAACTATGACAACTTGCAAGAAGATGGAGGCCATAGACCATATATCATTAACACCAACCTTAAGCGTGCTAACTATGCAAAAAGGAGTCGTCTTACAAAGAAACTCACCCATTCAGTTAAAAACTGCTGGCCCTTAGGTCGGTTAATGTCAACAGCCTTGCGCCCAGTGACAAGTTCTACCAACACGACACCAAAACTGTATACATCAGCCTTCTCTGTTATTTGTCCACTCTGCGCATACTCTGGTGCCAGATAACTGCAGCGAGTCGCTAAGAATCATTGAGTGCTCCAAATTACTTAAGGTGACAAATTATTGGAAATTCCAGTACATACCCAAATGTGCCGATGACTCTTGTTTCAACACCCATGTCTCCATCGGGTTGCCATCGTGCTAGACCAAAATCTCCAACCTATCAGAACGTGATTGAAAACATACAACCCTGTCAGGAAATTATATGCTTGGTGGCCATGCATAATATAAGACTGGATATTGGCATAATTAAAAAAAGGTGTCTGTAAGATAATTCTGGGGAAGTTAAACAGAAAGTATTGCAATTTAGTCAAATTTACACAAGACAAGACGCTATTATGGTCTAGAAAAGTGTAGTTACAAGATAGGCCAACCCAATTAAGTATACAGAATGGCTTCATCCATCAGGCACACAAATTTAACATCATATCTGGAAAGACGTTCAATGCAATCCCAGAGGACAAATGCCAATTAGTAAATTCCAATAGTGCAGTCCATACCAGAGGTTCAAAATCATGTGTGACAAGGATGTTGTTTGGTCTCATGTCCCGATGGATAATGCAGCCAACTCTGCATTCCTCATGTAGATACCGCAACCCTCGAGCAGCGCCAACAGCAATCTTTTGTCTAGCTGCCCATTCCAGTGTGTCTTTATTATTGCGACCTGAAAGATATTTCACAAACAGCTTAACAGGTAAACAAACATAGATTTATTGCAATATCACTAACTTTTGCTTGCTACTGGTAAAAGGCAGAACAACAATATGCATGTAATGAATACTAAGTGCAATAGTGAGCCTGCAGACTGGAAAATGTGTCTATACAGACATGCAAGAGAGAGAGAAAATCATACCATAAAGATGTGAGTCCAAGGATCCATTGCAGATGTACTCATAAACCAATAAACGCCTCCTTTCCTCAACACAAAAACCAATGAGCATTACAACATTACGGTGTTGTGCACAACTCAGAACTTCCACCTCTGAGCAAAATTCAACATCACCCTGGGAACTAGCAAGCTTATGTTGCTTGACAGCAATTGCCTGACCATCAGGAAGGACGCCTCGATGAACAGATCCAAATCCACCTTCAGCCAGGAAATTTGCCTGGGAGAAACCACCGGTTGCAAGTTCAAGTTCAGCGTAACTAAACCACCGAGGAGGTTTCCCAAACACAGGAGCCTTGTGCTGACATATCGAACACAATGGAGGCGGCCCAGGAGGTGCGCTCCTTGCTAACGAGACAGCGTCCCTGACATTTCCTCTAAAGTTTAAGTCTGATCTGCTTCTCATAGAACTTATTTCATGCAAAAGATCTAACTTGGAGATCTTCTCAAGCAAAGTATCTGCAGTTGGGGTGCGAGTTTTTCGTGGTGGTTTTGAGGATGCAGATCCCTGTAGAATGTCGACCATCCATGGCTGAAGCGAGAAGGTTGCTGAGGGACTCAATATTTCACTGTCGGTATCAGAAATATTGACATCCGAATGCTGGATCTTATCCTTTGTTGCTTGTACCTCTTTCTTTAGAGAAACAGTTGTTTCAGAAGCACAAAATGGGGAAGTCCCTGGATCTGAACTTGAGACTGAGGATGTTCCCGCTTCGGTACTTCCAAAAGGCGTCTCTAAGTCTGGGCTGCTATTAGGTGTTACAGCTGGTCCTCGAACTGAACTTCGCGGCTCCTTTACATCAGTTGCTGTTTTACCAACAGAACTATCCAACACTGCTGGAAGTGAACAGGATCCTTTGGACTCTTTATCAGGAGATCCCATAAGATTCAGACGGAGAACTTTAGGCTGAGAACGCTTCATGACAACAATGTTGCACTGTAACTCTTCCATGCAACGCTTCTCTTCATGCTTCAACTCCCTAAGAGCAGCAGCATGGGCAGCTAAGCAAAGAGAAAACACAAGATACCTGAACGTACAAAAGAAAATTACAGTAGTAAGTGTTGATCATTACTTATCTAGCACAACCCAGCTTGCTTGTGCTCGCTTAGATTCAGCAGCTACGACACCAGGAGGAGATCCAGAAACAACCTTAACCTTAACATTTATCTGCACAAATGAGAATCGTCATAAAAAAGATTGCAGTGTGTGATAGGAGTCAAGAAAACATGTACAGAAGCATTAACAGTGATCCTGATTAGCCTGCTGGCTACCGATTGTTATTCTGTCACTTAATCAATAAAGCTCCCATTTCCACCGGACAAAAAAAACATGTACAGAAGCATGTACAAACCTTGCTTGCATCATAAACATCATGAAGTTTGAGCATCATTTGCGAACACAGCTCTGAGACATCTGACTTCTGATCAAACATGGTCTTATGGCCACTTGCGCAATCTCCCGCAAATAGAGGAAAGCCCCAGAATTTCCTGCCTGAAAGAGGGAAACCATAGTGCATTGAAGCCGCTACCACAAAATTCAAAACTCAACCCAGAACTCGTGGAAGCTACTGGACAAAGTGCAGCAACTTCAGTGATCATGGTAACAGAAGAGTTTAGAGACCAATTATGGCAACCCATATATGCATTTAGCTGTGCAACTAATGTGCATATAGGATGCACTATTATAGCTAAGCCCCCAAAACAACACCGCGGTACAACAAAAGCACAAAACTGCATTTGCGAAGGACGGATAGGATTGCAAGGAAAGGAAACAATACCAGAGCTCTGTGCCGGGATGACAACGAGTAGTATGATGCTGCCGCCGGGCTGCACGACGTGCGTCAAAGCCCAGACGATGGCTGTCTTGGAGATCTCCCTAATGGCAGCACGCACCGCCACCACCACCTTCTCCTCGGCAGCAGCAGCCGGTGCGCCCTTGTCGGCCACGGCCTTCCCCTTCCTCTGCTGCAACAGCAGCTGCTGGTGCTTGATAGAGCTCGCCATCACCTCCTCTCCGGCGATGCCTACAAATCAAGAAGCTCCCTCTAAACAGCTGAACCACGGAAGTGCTGGCCAAACCCAAGAAGCAAACAAGTAGGAGTAATAATGCCTAGTACAAACAACGCAACAACCAGCACCAAGTGCTTAAATGCAAATGAGATAGGAGGAGCCACTGACAGTTGCCAGCGGCGTTGGACACCGAACTCTGTTCACAGAACCAAAAGGCAGCCAAAGACCAGTAAAGATGGCGGCAAGGCAGTAAAAAGGAGACGGCCTTTCCCCCTCAACTGGGTCCCGGATTCTCGACGACCAAGCTGCTGCGGATTGAGAGAAAGATCGCCCACTTTATGGCTGGCCGCAGAGCGGGCGCCACTGCCGCCTGTGAATGTCCTCGCCGCCACTGTAGCCGGAATAGGGACACCGGGAAGGGGAGAGAGCCCAGCTCCAGCTCGCTCTCGCTGTCTGGGATGAGACGACGAGGTGACCCCGCCTCCCCGTTGCGCCAAACCGGTCAGATTGCACAGTGCCGCCTCGTCCTCCCAGCCTACACGGTTCCCAGCACGCCGTAGGAATCCCCAAATCATTGAAAAATCGTTCGAATCTTCGCACAGATCTCGCCGCGCTCTCCGCCTCGAAATCGGCCTCCACGACCACGAGTGGGACAAAACGGAGTCAATTTCTACGGAAATTTCCCCATTCCATATGCAAGCAGATCTCCGACGCGATATTTGACTCGCATTGCCTTCCATAAACGAACACCTACCCTTCCCAAATACCCGGGAAACTTGCCCGCCATACCAGGGCGGAGTTCGGGGGCATCTGAACCGACGCGAATCGAAGCTATCATCAAAAACGAAAACGACAGCTCAATCAAAATGGGGGGAAGAGAAGAGACCCACCGAGAAGAGAAGACGAGGAGCGCCCGGCCCGGCCCGGCCCGCTGCCGGAGAAGACGACGAAGAGGAAGCTCCGCCTCGCGCGCTGCCGCCCCCTCCTACGACCTGGGTACGATGCGAAACCTAGGGCGCTATAGTGCCGTACGCGTGGGAGCGGGAGCGGGAGCGGGGGCGGGTGGAGGCGGTGGCCATTAAAGAGCCAAGGAGCGCAAGCAATTAAACCTCCATTGCTGTGCGTGACGCTAACCTCTTCAGGCTTCAGTTCCTACTAGTGGTACCGTCGTTCGCCGTCCAGGGGGAGGCTACCCGTTCTACCCTTCAGGCTTGGTCGCATTAACGGCACTGCCACTCGAATGCAACGCGTTTGAAAACCGGTCGCCGTCGCCGGCCATCTGATTGGGATCGGACGGCCGAGGAGTCTCGCAGGATTGAATGCGGCTCAGGGTGCTGTCTCGTGAGCAGACGGTCCCTGCTTCCAGGTGGGGACCACGCGACAGTGTCGGGCAGTGCACGGCCCCGGTGTGGCCCCGGTGCACGAGGAGGGCGCTGACATGGTCCTGGTGGGCCATCGCCGTCGCCTCCTTCCTACTCCTACTACAGGGTTGATCTGATTTCTGAACTTTTGCTGCAGTTTGGCGGAAAATTTCTCAACCTTTTTACAGGCTTTTCTTCCCTTGGATGGATGCAGCAACGCAACCTGTTTTTTTGTGTTTATTATGTGTTGTACTTTCCGTTGCGATGTGATGTGAGAGCAGTGGTACTATCGACGAACGGATGCTATGGGTTAAAACTAGTAAAAGGTGACAAGGCTCTGGGTTAAAACCCTTTTTACGTACTCTTATCTACTCAGGTGCAAAACGTTTTTGCCTTGGCCATTCGACTGGAAGAAAATGAAAACATGAGATGAAGACCCAGGTAGATTGTTTTTACTCCGTAGATGATATCACTACACTGCAGGAATATTAATACTACATATCAAAGTTGTCATCAAAGTTGTATTAGAGCTGTGTTATTTAATTTGAATCAGAGAGAGTATTATTATCTAAGTGAGCATGCAAAGAGCCGTGTACCGTTGGCGACGCCCAAAAGATGATTGCAACCCAACAGTTTGGCTATGTACGTGTCGTTTTAACAATCCAATTATCTACCTATGTGTCAGCGTGTATACTGTGTGCACTATATATATGTACAAGAAAATATGATAAGCTCCGGCTGCCCTTTGAAACGTACTTCCTCCATTTCAAAATAAATGACTCAACTTTATATTAACTATAATATAAAATTATTTTGAAACAAAGGGAGTACCGCTGATGTCCCAGTAAGTGGTACCGATTGTACGCTCGCAGACAATTCTGTGGCCCTTCAATCCGTAGTAGGTGTGTAGGTACGTGCAGTTAACCGTCCGTATTAAATCAAGAATCATGATAGGTGTATTCTTTATTTTTTGCGATAAACATGATAGGTGTATTCTTGTCTGTCTTGTAACACTACTTTGCACATTAAACGTATAATACGTGTCCTCACCAAACCCAACACTAAAGAGCCATCTGCGCAATACGTATACAACATCCAGAAGAAATACTCACTATCCTTTCAAATTAAATACTCACTATATATACATCTGGGCCCATCATGCCTTGATCAGCAAACATAGTGGAGCTGGTCCTGGTGGCTGGAACCCTAGCCGTCGAGAGGCCATCTTTCAGCGCCGTCCTCCGGCGCAGCAGCGGTGCGAGGAATTCAATCATGTGTAGTCAATTGAATCTTGTGTAGTCAGGAGTATGCATTTTAAAGATTTTTTGCATGATGTTTATTTGTTGTAGAACGTTTTTTTACAAAAAAGATGTGTAGTCAATGGACTACACAGCTCATGTGTGGGTTCGCCACTGCTCCGGCGGCTCCCCTCTGCCGGCAACCTCGGCCGTCGGTGGTAAGGGCGGTCGCCGGATCCACGCGCGTGGGTCGTTTTTACTCCCTTGTAGTCTAGCTTTTTAGGATGTACATCGTCTTGGCTTCGGCGGCGACGATGACGGCGCTGAATAAAGATTATTCGGATCCTTCCCTGACGAGGTCATCGGTCCTATGGCTGGGGGTGGATTTGGAAACCAGTCTGTTCAAGTAAGGATGGTGTGACGGCGGCGGCAGCCTTGTGGTGGACCTGTGTCCTCGGGCTCCGCCGCTGCGACATCGTTTGCTCAAGCGTCGGCGCGGAGCTTGGGAGGTAGTCTAGGAGCGGATGCGGATTGTGGTCTGTGTCGTGGTTCTAAGCCTAACAGTGATGTAGGGGGGTACGTATGGAGAGGCAGGATCTTAGCTGTGGAGAAGTTGTAAGCACGCAAGGTTTACGAGTTCAGGCCTTTCTCGGAGGAAGTAATAGCTCTACGTCTCGGAGCCCGGAGGCGGTCGACTGGATTATGCGTGTATGAGTTACAGAGGTGCGAACCCTTGTCTCGGAGGGGGGTTGGCTTATATAGAGTGCGCCAGGCCCCCGGCCAGCCCACGTTACCAAGAGTTCAATGTTCATTAAGGCGAGGCATTACTGGTAACGCTAGTAATAAAGTGATATGATGACCATAAAAAGCTATTTAATGACCGACCGTTAGCGTGCGGAGTGACTTTAGGTCTCCTGGCCGTCGAGTGGTTGGATCTTGGTCGAGTGATTGCTTCTTGGTCGAGTGTCTTCGAGTCTGTCGAGTGTCTTCGAGTCTGTCGAGTGGAACACCTTCAAGTCGATTGAAAGGTGATTTCTTCTAGAGATGTCCTCGGGTAGGGTAGGTAGGACAGGTCCATGACCCTACCCTAGGTACATAGCTTCATCATTAGCCCCCGAATGGATCGAGGTTTGAGTGGGGAAGGATTTGAGAGCTTCTCCGACTCGTTTTTCATGTCGTGAGCATATCTAGTTTCAGATCAACGGGCCTGAGTGATGGCAGCAACTTCCTTTCCAGTCGCCTTGATCCATTCTTAATTCCTCGTCGAGTGGGTTTCTTTACTTGTAAGGCTCCGAGTGATGGTGTTGAGGAGATCCTTGGTCTGACAAGTTATTCGCTGCCTGCGGATTTAGTGGGATCTGAATTTTGGGAAGCGCGCGGGACGGGGGAGGCCGCAGTAATTGGACAAGATAGAGCGGAGCCGCCTCGATCCCCGCGCCACCTTTTTCGCCACGTATCGCTCGTGCGGTCGTTGTGGGATTTGACAGGGCCGCCTGGGCCTACCCGTCAGCCACTCGGGAGCGGCCTGATATAAAGCGCCTGGACCGGAGTCCCCCGAGCAGTGCATCCCATTACCTCTTCTCTCCCTCACGTCCCTCCGCCGCGCTCGCTCTCGCCCTAACACCACCGCACCGCACGCGCCTCGCCGGCGACAATGGGGAGGGAGAAGACAGCGGCTCTGGAGCGGGCCAAGAAGGCGACGGTGAAGTCGAAGGGGAAGGCGACCAGCCGGGGCGGATCTTCCTCGCAGTCTGGCCTGCCGAAGGGCTAGATCCAGGGCGACTGGATCCAGTCGAGGATCTGCCAAGACGACCTCGACGACTTGGCCGAAGGGGGGCTGATCCCCTACGACGCGGCGCGGCTTCCGGGGAAGGAATCCGAGCCGCAGCCTCGGGAGGGTGAGCGCGTTCTTCTTGCCACCCACGTCGACCGTGGGTTTTCCTTGCCTCCTCATCCTTTCTTCCGAGGGTTTCTGAACTTCTTTGGGGCTCAACTCCACCATTTTACCCCCAACTCAATCGTTTATCTTGTCGCGTTCATTTCCTTGTGTGAGAACTTCTTGGGTTGTCGACCTCACTGGGGTCTTTTCAAGCATATCTTCACTTGTCGCTCCCAGACAGTGAAAAGGGCTAATCCGAGTGACGAGAGGACCCAAGTGATCCAGATGTGTGGGGGTCTTGGCATCCAGACGAGGGGAAAAAGCTCCTTTCCGGCCATGATTCTCCCCGATTCAGTTCGCGGATGGCAGTTGACTTGGTTCTACTGCAAAGACCAGTCGATGCCAGGGCAATCGACTGGCCTCCCTCCTTTTACCATGGACCGAGTGGAAAAACCCTCCCCTTTGAAGGTGCTCCCGGAGGAGAAGGAGCACGTGCAGGTGCTGGTCGACCGAGTGGTCCATCTTATTCGCGACGGGGTCACTGGTATGGATCTCTTGGAGGTCTTCCTTCAGTGGCGCATCCAGCCTCTCCAAGCCTGAGACCATCCGATGCGGATGTATTCAGGTCTTGAAGACTCCACTCGGATCCACCCGGAGGAGGTCGACGACGACACGCTGGAGAAGTGGCTGTCTGGCATTACCGGGAATAAGGACAATCCCAGGGGAGCCAGGAGAGTCCCTCCATTCGACCAGTCCCACGCACCCGAGCAGGTCTGATTCTGAGTTTTTGCTTGTAATCTGAGTTCACTCGCGCAGCCGTCTGTATTGCGTCGACTGACTTTGTTCTCCCTGCTTTCTTTCAGGCCATTATTGAAATGTATTCCATGCCCAACGGGGAGCAAGAGCAAGCTCTGGAAGGCAAGGCGAGTGGCGGCGAAAGCGGCGAGGGGGCTTCCGATGGTGAAGGGGACAGAGGGAGCGACGACTCAAGCGCTGGAGAAGAAGTCGAGTCGCCTCCTCGTAGGGAGAGGCGATCCAAGCTTGACCAAGAACGGCCGAGTGCTCGCGACAAGGCAACTGCTCCGGCTGGTCAGTCTTCAAAGCGCCCTCAGATCTCTTCACCAACCCCGACTGGGAAGGCGCCAAAGCACCCCAAAGTTGCAGAGCCGAAGACTCGGAAGGCGCTGCCAAAGATCAAGATCGATATCCCTATCGCCTCCGCGTGAGTGTCTCTCCTTGTATTCACTCGACGCTCCGCGTTGTTTGTTTTTCTTGTTTTAACTGGACGAACTTTGGAATTGTTAGCGCTGCCACTTCCGGAACCTCAGCTTACAGGGATGATGATGAGGTGATGGAGGATGCGGTCACTTCTAATCCGGGTATGATTTCTGCCATACTATCTTTTTTTGGTCGATTCAATTGTATCGTGCATCACTGGGTGACGTGCTTTTGGCAATTTGAACCTTGCACAGCTCCCAACATTATTGACCTCCCTGATGATGAAGGAGAGCCCGAGAGGCCTTTGACAAGGAAGAACAGGCGAGCTCCTGCAAGCGGGGCGCTACAGACGACGCCGAGGGCGGAACCAGTTGTTCAGGACACTCGCGACGTCAATCGGGGTCCTGTTACCTTCGCTGAGCCGCTGTCGAGTGCTTTGCCTTCTTCATCAACTGCTCAGGCCCCTGTCGACCCGCCTTCAATTTTTGCGACCCATCGTGTCCCGGAGGACGAGGTGAATGCTGCTAGGGAAGCCATTCGTCAAGCGGGCATTATGATGGAGAAGATGAAGGCGGTGCGGGACGCTAGCCAAGCCGCCTATGATGCCAGCTCGGCCCTCCAGAGCAACGTTCAGGTTAGTTGGTTGCCGCTTGTTCTGTTAGGATATGCTACCTGAAGATTCTTTCCGAAAATCTTTGCATCTGCACACCCACTGGGTGCGTCGATTGATTCTTGGACTAGTGGGGGCACGCTGAGTGCA